TCGATTATTTTATTTCACCCGAAATGCTAAATTGTTACTTTTCTTCATCCTACCTCTTTTTTTTCTGTCAATTTTACCAGATGTATCTTTTTATACCATCAAGCAGTATATTCACATTCACATAGTGATGCACAAGAATGATATCCGGTAAATATATAATAAATAGCACTCTCGATACCTGGAATCATAAAGAAATTGACGAGGAATTGAGCTGTTTATGACCATATTAAAATGTTTTCAACTATACACAGAATAATTCCGATATTCCGGATGCTAGAACAATATACCATAATGGAAAAGTGGAGCTTAATAGTACTCTTGTTGATTTTATAGTAATCTTACATAGGATGTAAGCTAAAATTCAGAATGATTAAGGCGTACGGTCAGAGTATACGATATCATACAGTAGCTATTGTATTTCGTTGAGGAAGATTGTCGCAAAAAGCAGAATTCCTGAATTAGTTCATCTAAACAAAAAAAAAAACAAAAAGTAGGTCATGGGATAAATTGGATAAAAATGGGCTGCGTTAAAACTTGACTGCTCCGAGTTTGTCATTCGGGCATTTGGGAAATTTGTGGAAGTCTTTGGTTGATTACTTTTTTTTACGTGGTTGTGCGCTTTAGATGTAATTGCTTATCGATCGGATTTATTTCAATTCTAATTTAAGTGTCGGTTAATTCATTATTTGATTAATTCATTATTGATAGAAAAAATTTCTCACCTTCCCGCATAATCCTTTTTTTTCAAAAGTTTGATCAAAATGTGATTATTTATTTATATGTTATTCATAAGAATTAAAATAACCTATCAATAACCTATCATTGTTTTAGAATTATTTCGTTTTTTTTCTTTTTTTTTTTGTTGTGAAGTAATGTTCGAGGTAGAGATGTGAATATCATTTGAATATCATCTATCATTCTTTCCTTTTTTTTAAGAAAAAAAAAAAAAAAAAAATTTAATGCCATCTAAAATTTAATACCAAAAATTTATTATCATTTTTTTGGATTTTCTTTTGTATTTTTGCAAAAAATTGCAAAACTACCAATCTTTATTAGAAATTAACAACGAGATTGCAAATTTATAATATGGAATCGAAATTTCTAAGGTTGCCTGAGCATAAATTTAGGAAATTAGTAGTAGGATAGCGTGAATGGATGGGAATTTTATGAAAAGAGAAGGAATTCAAGTTGCATAATTTGTTGAGATCGCTGTAAGTGAGAATTATTATAAATGCTATCGTTAAACTAAATTGACGAGATCCTTGAAGCTATAAACTAACAATGAGAGTAATGAAATGTAAAATTAAATAATTTTGATAAATAAATATTTCAGTACAATAAATTCAATCACCTCATAAATTTTTCGAATTTTACGATTAGTAGGTTATCAGACGTTTCATTAATAGCAAAAAATTTCGGTTCCACTTCATCTGTTCCAATTTCAGATAACTTCGGTTAGGTAGAATATTCTGATTGTATACGTTGAGGTGTAACATTCATCTAATCTATTTGCCGAAGTGGAATAACCGCCTAGGATTAATGGATTGGAAATTCACTAAATAGATCACCAGTAGTTATACGTGTAGAGGGATGAGAATTTTGAAGTATTTATTATATTAATTCACGTATTCTTAATTTTTACTTTTTTCTGAAGCTATCAGCCTTGATTTGTATGTTTTCTACAGTGATTGGATATGATTTATTTGCATATTTTCGCCTATTATATATCACTTTTAAGGACATACTTTTTAGAATCGGGAAGGAGAGGAAAACTGCATGAAATGATCATTTTTGAGGACGGAAGACATCAGAAATCGTATACATAGATTACATAGGTTCTTATCTAGAAATCAACTACATAGATTACATAGATTCCTGTCCAGAAATTATTACCTAGAACCGAATACATAAATTCTCCCCTGAATAAACATTTTTTTGTTGTATTTCTCTGATATTATTAAACTTTATTGCTGCAGCATATATTACGTATCAAGTAAGCTAAAAATATATGCGAAATAAATAATATAGCAAAAAAAAGATAAAAAATAAAAATAAAATAAAAATTGCAGATGGTTCTGTTTCAGACATGAAAATTTTCAAACTACATAATTTATTTTTTGATAAAATATGAATTATGTTTAAAAGAAATTTTACAATTTGGTATATTTCTTCCAATTTTTCAATGCCAAATGTCATAAAATGGAAGTAAAAGAAGGAAGAAAAAAGAAAAGGAAAAATTTATCAATTTTTTCTTTTTATTTTTTCTTGAAGGTTCTATTCCGTCTTTTTGTGGAAAAATGGAAATAGCAACGCAGGTGGCTGAAGGGAAGGTTGGCTTATGGTGAAGAGGAACAACAGCGGTTTATGTATGATTCAATTCGATGCTGTTTCTTCTTTTTTTTTTAAAAAAAAGAAAAAAAGAAGAAGTATACATATGCAAAGCAGTTAGCATCAATCGACGAAAGGACAAAAAAATTGACGATGTATTCGTATTTTTTAATTCTTTTGCTAAAGAATCGTTCGGACTTTGTTAATTCTTCTGTGGAATTTGTCAGTTATTTCCGGAAATATCAGTTCACTTCAATCAACTATTCCAAATAATCAGAAGCTGATGTATGCTATATGTTAATTGCACATAGTAATCAATTTTTCCAAAGTTTATTT